CATGGTGGAATTCGCCATCAACAATTCGGTGCATGCTTCAACACAGCACACACCGTTTTACGTGAATGGCCTACGCCATCCACGAGTGCCCACCCTTATAGAGTGTGACTCTTGGATAATGGGGGAGGGACTCGCTCGAGCAAAAATCGTTTTGGCTCTTGCTCATCACGTGTCGACGCTAACGTCGTCACGTATGATGCCGATGTCGATCAAGTCGACATCGATGAAGAAGATCATCTCAATAATAGCGACGACGCTATTATTGATTCGGATGATGATGACGATGCTGGTATATTCAGCATCGCCAACGATTATGCCAGCGAGGAAGAAGACAACCTCGCTGAAGAAGAGAGCAATCTCTTAGCAGTGCGCACGAAGCGCACTGACAGACAAAACAAAGAGTCAGCAGAGAACTTCCTGCTGACTCGAGAAGCGGTAGTCCGTTTCGTTCAGGACTCCATCGCAAATGCGGTGGACCGTCAGAAACGGAACGCAGACAAGAATGGAAGAGCAAATGTTCTTTCATTTAAGGTTAACGACCTAGTACTACTGTCTACGGTAAACTTACCTGGACATGCAGTCACTAGTGTCGGCAGTAGTAAATTACTGCCGAAATACATTGGGCCATTTCGAGTGTTGCATCGCAAGGGCAATGCATACACACTCGAATTGCCACGTAGGATGCGCACGCATCCTACGTTTTACGTGGGGAGGCCTAGGTCGTACTGTCAATACGAGCCTTCTTCTTCCGATGAAGATAGCCCCCACGTTCAAGAACATCCATCAATTCCTTGCGTTCGCGCTCCAGACGATCCGTCTGGTCGCACAGATATGATACCTCGGAACTCAACCGAGATATCTCCCCGCGAGCTGTCGCCAGCTCGCCGAAAAGGGAGCGGACATCCCGCTCGACCTGAAGCTGCGCTGTGGCATAATCGGCGCGATCCCTCGCCCGATCAGCCTCGTGATTCTTGCGGTTCTTCCGCACGGTATCGGTCAAAGCGTAGCGCCGGTCGAGCTCGTGCTTCAAGTCATCGCGCAATTCATCGATTGCGCGATCCATCTCGTAAGGGTCGAGATGGTGAGCAGAATCATCTGGAGGAGGTCTTTCCTCCTCCACCACATCCTTTGGTGGATGCTCACGGTGATCAACGCTTTCTAGTGGAGCGTATCTTGAATCACCGTGACGATTCAGGATCAAGGACGAGCTACCTTGTCCAGTGGCGGGGGTATCCACCCTCTTGGAACAGCTGGGAGCCCCGCTCTCAGCTGTTGATGGATGTTGAAGGTCTCGTCCGCCAGTATGACGAGACCCATCCGATGAGTCCTGTGGCCCATCGGTAAACACGCGACCTAGGCGATTGTAGACGGATTTCAAGTTTGCAATCGCGTCACGCATCTCAGCCGAGATGTGTGCCCTTCCCCAGGGCAAATTTAGGGAATACACATCCCTATGTGCACGCTGGGAGTTGTCAACACAACTCACACAAGGGTCTCCCCATGTGAGGCAAGGAATGCCTGCCTCACTCGATAAACAATGCAACCGGTACCTAGCACCGGTTGGCGTTCGCCTTTCGAACCTGAGGCGTGTCGCCTCAAGTTTCTTGAGCCACCCTTCTCGTCCAAAATTCTTTACGTTTTGGACGAACGCGTTCCACGCAGCCAAAAGCGAGGCCTTGTCACGCTTTTGGTTGCTGTTGTACCATCGATGTCCAAGGACGACATCGAGATAAAAGTCTTCCTCAGCGCGAAAGTTCTTCGCGCTGGAACTCAAGCCGTGAAGCTCAGTTGCATCGAATAATGGCATTCGATGGTGTTGGCCTGTCTCGTGAGACAAGCTATTGATGAGCCGTTCGGGCAAACGCCACGGCTTCAACTCATCACGCTTCACAGTGGTACCCTTGTCGGTACCACGGCTCCCAGATTGACGACGGCTCGCGCCATCGTCATCACGCTCGTGCGAAGACGCACGAGCCGGCGGTGGTGAGGAATAGAATTCCTCACCACCCTGATCATCGTCATCACTGCCGAACAGACTGTGATGCAAATCACGAGTCCGTTCGTTCGGCAGTGGTCTTGGCGAATACTGAGGCGTCGCCGGTGAGCGAGACGCCTCTGGAGCATTGCCCGAGTCAGACACGTCTGACTCGCCAGAGTAGATGACCTCTACATCAGGGTCATCGTGCGCACGCGGTGTGATACCGCGTGACCTGCAGCACCTGTTGCTGCAGGCGAAGAAGGGGCGTCAGAAGACGAATCGTCTGCCGCAGAGGCCGGCACAGCACCGGGCTGTGTGGGTCTTGAGTCACCTCGCATATACATGTTAACTATGCGAGGTCAAGCGGAAAGTGAATGGAACGGACCCAACAAGTGCTCCCTGTCCCAATGGTGGCCAACGGGTGGCCTCCATATTTCGATAGTCACACGGTGACTATCAGTTAAGGGGGCGGGGTGATGTAACGGGGCAGCCCGTTACATGAAATCGTCACTTTAAGGAAAGTGACAATAAAGAATATAAAGATGGATATTCTTTAAACAATATCACCAAAGTGGTGATATTGAAGGGTCGACCAAAGGGTCTGTTTATTGGTTGATATCTTGATGATATCAACCCACCAATCGCCGCAAGACGCGCGCAATGAGTGGTGACGAGACGTCACCATACATCCAGTTATATTAGTATAGTTAAACTAAGTCAAACAGAGAGACAGTAGTTAAAAGACTTAATTATATTAATATAACAGTTCTACTTTTACCCTACCTACGCTTTCTCGCTTGCCACGTGTACGTCTGTCGGGGCACCCAAAACCCTTGCGTTAAGTTCACGCAAGGGTGTGCCCCGTTACAAAGACGGCTAAGATCAGGAAGTCTTCTGGTACGGAGTGTGAGTGGTTGGAGGTATTTAGCTGGGTGAGAGCCATAACTGAACCCGAAGGGATGAAACACGAAGGAAATCGACCCGAAGTACTAGCCCAACTGCGCCGACTAGCTCGGCGATTGTTGTTTGTTACGTAATACTGTATTGCCACATTCTGACTGACTACTGTAACCCACTGGGAAGTGGTTTAACGGATGTGGATGCGGATATTGTAACGGGACACGGGTCACTTCGTACTGGATCACCAGTACGGACTCAACTTTCACTGACAACAGTGAAGTTCAGTATTCTGACGGGTACAAACACTACACAGAGAAAGGGTAGATAACATAGGCAAGACTCGAGTTGCAGAAAAGTAACACTGTTACTTAATTTAATTAAGTCCAGTATCTCCTATTCTCTGTTTGCCCTAACTTAATTATATAAGTAAATTTACACTTATGATGACGTCTACTCACCACCCATTACGCGCGTCTAGCAGCGATTGGTGGGTTGAAATAAACACAATATCAACCAACGAGTAGACCCTGGGTCATCTCAATCATATCACTGTATTTAGTGATATTGTTGAAAGTATATTCAGCATATAATTTTAATTACCATTTCTCACATTGGTAATCCCATGTGGGGGCTACCCATTACAGATAGGCACATTCTATCGACGATTTGTCAAAACAATCTATGAGCTGGCCAGAACGACGCGTTCTATAAGGCAATCACGAAAGGCATGACAAGCCTACGGCCAGGTTTGCGCTACATGCATCTGTCATCTGCACGCAATCGCGACAAAAGAGCATAGAAAGGTGTTTTGGCAGCTAGCGGTGCCATGTCATATGCATACATCGAGGGACTCAGGCACGAATCGAGAGACTCAATAAGCATTACTAGGCAGCTCTGGTCAGCCCTCGGATCCTTCGACGCTGACATCATGGCTTAGGTCAAACAAGAGATCTTGCACATAGTTACTATTGTATAAACAGACCTTCTATACCCAAAAAACAAGATGCTGTATTTTTGTCTCGACGCGGCCAATGAGTGACACTACTTGAAATTGGAGTAAACCGTGCTTCAGCTGCAAGGTGTGTACGACCAAATGCAGCTATCGAAAATATTGGCGCTGGGATTAGCACAGATATCGGATGCGAGGACAGAAAGACCGTTGTTTCTTGTACTGATCATATGCGCTATGTGCAAGACCCTGACACAAATAGGTGTGAAATTGGACATAAAGACCAAAAGTAAGAATTTTAGCTATCACTAAATAAAATATCTCGATACAGAACTGCATGCGACAGGGGTTTGTTAGTTTGCGATGGGATAATGTCGACAAAAAACAAATGGCAACGGGTATACTAGCACCTTTTTCCATGCCGCGATGGAAACATGGCACCGAATCTTGTTCAAAGCGGTACTTGCCAATGTTGTTGTTCATTGTTCAGCTTCAGTTTTTATCATACTTCGTTTCGTGCTTCGTAGAGGCGTGTATACGCGCTTCAGGATCAGATCTGGTGGTTGCAAGGACACGTCATGTACACAAATCGATTACTCAAACGAACAGTACGAGTCAATCTTCGTGCCTATAGACCGACCTCTCGACTCTCAAGCACAATCGCTACGCGATCACACCATACTGTCTTGCACAGCACCAGTTTCTCTGCGGTTGATCTAACAGGCCGAAAGAAGAATTGTCGAATTTGGAACGCGACTGCCATCTGTCCTCATTGATTTTTGAAATTCTCGCAATTCAGTGCACCCCAAATAGTCGCATTGCGCCACGATAGCATCCGCGATTAGTGTGTACAAGCCAGAGCGGCACCTTTTGAACAGGTGCCGCCTCTATCTCTCGTGATGTGCGATCGGCTCTTCTTTTTCGATGAGTCACCTACTCTTCCCCGGCGCCGTCCTTCTTCGCGATACGAAGAGCTACATAAAGCCAGTGTGAACTTGTCTTCAACCCGACAGTATACGGCTCTGCCAAACCAAAAGACGTTCGCCACCACAAGCACCGATCGCGCGACCACCACTTGTCAAACTTGCGACAAACAGGCGTGCACCTGGAGATACCACTTTTCAATTTACCGTCGGCACAGCAGCGCACGATCGTCTGCAAAGCGCGCAAACAATGATCGATGGCGACATTGTCTTGGCCGTGCGGTTTTGGATCTTGTGCAGTACGCTGTTGATGGTCTACATGCCGTCACGTTTCGTGCGCAAGATCTACCGCGATAAAGCCGTCGGGTCGGCGTCGCTCGTTCCCATTTTCCTAGTGCTTGCCAACTCGCACGTGTGGATGATGTATGCGTACTTGGGTCGAACGTGGTTCCCCAACTTCCCCGTCTTCCTCTTCGGCGACATTGTCACAGTATGCTACCTCTACATCTACTGGCGGTACTCGGACGACCGAGACCACGTGGCCCACACCATTAGCATCATGTTTGCCTGGCTCACGGTACCCACGTTCTACGTGGTCGTCGGCAGCCTGGGCCTGACGGACCAGACACGAGCTCAGGTCTGGAAAACCCACGGATTGTGCTTCTGCGGTGTGACTGTCGTCATGAGCCACATGCTGATGCTCAAGAAAATCGTCTATGCAATACAGCGTCGGTCTGCGGCGTTCATCGTGCCACGGTCTCTTGTTGTGACGACTTTCAACACGTTTGCCTGGTTCACGTACGGTCGAGTGACTTCAAACTGGATTATTGCCGGACCTCAAGTGTTTGTCATCGCGCTCCACGTAGCTGCATGGACAATCTACGTCGCTTTTGCGCGCCCGGCCAGTCCGGACCTGCCCATTCGCGCGATGGAGGAGGGCACAGTGACGTCTGTTGTCGTGCTTTCACCCCAGATTGATGTCGATGCCTACGGTGGTACGAAGGAAGCGCGAACATCTGGCAGTATAGAATACTGCTCCCTGCGGTCCCCCTCGACTTGAATGCAGTGAGTAGTATATCGACCTAGCGGGCGACTTGGCGTCCGTAGATTGTGTCGACTTTTGCAACCAAGTTGCTAACGCGAAGCAAAAGTGGTCTGTGAAATAGGTGCTACCTGATCAAAGTCAAGAAAATTGGCGGTGGACGTGGTCCTTCAAGACGGAAACACACGGTTTAGAAGACATGGTATACCAAATCGAACGTCAAAGTGGTCATTATCCTGAGCGTAGGAATCTTGCGGCCGCGTTGTACCGCCAGCCCGCAACATCGTCTCAGTGTCAATATGAGTTTACCTCAATGCACGTCGCACAAATTGTCATATTTGTCTATCGACCAACGTCTCTCTATCCTTCCTAAGGTAAAACGGATGAGTCGTACTAAGACAAGACACGAATTTTTGTCGCGCTCAATTTTGTGCCTTGGTGGCTGTCCCATCGCACAAGTGGTCATTAATGATTGGTCGCCGGGTTTTTCTCCTCGCTTCGGTCGCAGTAATGACCGCTTTGACTATTTACGGTACAAAAGCCGGCTCAATTTTCATAGCGTCTAGCTCCATTTCTCAGGGTGCATCATCGAGCTAAGTCTACGCAGAATCCCATGAGATTACCCGTGTACCAATTGGCTAAATTGAGTTTGGGGGGCGAAATGAGAAACAGTCTGGCTCATTTTGCATCTCAGTTCAACTAAATCCGCCATCCATGCCTGTTTTTTTTTAGAATTTACACTCACGACATGATGACACGGTCCGGTCAAATTTAGACGCACCCAGCTTTGTCCACTTGTCACTGCTCGTTGACTTTTAGATCTGGTAGATTCTGAACGGATTACACTCCAACGTGTGGCTACTTTTACGACAGGTAACTTCCACGCAACTTCTGTCGCGACTTAGTTACACGAGCCAAAATGCTTTCAACGTGGACTAAGATTAAACGTCGCACGCAGCCTACGAGCGCGTTCGTTTACAAGAACGATACCGTCCGTGTATGGCTTGCACCACTTCTTGCCGACCTGCTGTATCGATACTACAGATGTGCTCGACTGCGTCGCGGTACTGCTGAAAGTGCAAGGTGATGAATCACATACGACCCGACTTTTTCTCGCTGGTGGGGACAGAAGCGCAACTGCGGGGTGCCGACTGCCGAACGTGTAGTGGATATATAGGCGTAGGAAAACTTGTTGGTCAACCCAACCGAGACGAAATCCAGCTGACTCAAACAGATGGCTGTTTTCACCGTTACAGTTGTTGAGTGCTTTGGCTGGAATCTGTGCGCTCGCCGATGCAGCACATCTCATTCCTGCCCGCGATGCAACGACACCGGTGAGCAAGAGCGTATGTAGACGTTGCCTTGTACGTACAGAAAGGGGGGTGGAGGCGCTTGCGTGCATCGGTGTTCAGTGCAGCTTGTTGACATTTCCCGTCACTTGCTGTTTACCTATTGAAAGCGCTCGGCTTCGACGTCTACGGTCCATAGTGACTGCAGAGCCATTGTGCTTGCAGTAGTGTGAAAGTAGACCTGGTGCACGTGATCTCGAGCGAGTCACCTCCCGGAACTGATCGTCAGACCAGCAGCTTGCTGTGTTGGCGATAGGACGCTGACCGACGCTTTGTGAATCGAACGTCTGCGGAGATACCTAGTGACTGACATCCTCTAGTCCCTTTGCACCCGCCAGAAGACAATGGAGTCTTGTGGGTGCTACTGACGCTCAACCGATTGTGAAGTCCTGGCGCAGGATTGAGGCATAAGTCACATGACCGACTGTAATCGAAGACAGGATCGTGAACCGCTCCACCGCTTGTATTTCTTGCATCTACAAAACAGAGCACTAATGTTGACGCCAAACAGTCGCGAAGAGCTGGCATCAAACGAAATGTGCAGACACAAACGGTGCCATGCTCTACGCGTGGATCAAGTTGCGGGAGCGCGACATGAGAGGATAGCGAGTTTGTACAGTGGCCTGCCGCGATATGCGCACGGATCCACCGGCTGAAGCATTCGTGCGCTGGCCTTTCAGAGCCTTCTCGTGCATTTTATAAACGTCATGTAAAGAGATCCTCTGGTCTTTTCCCGAAGCTTCTGGTCTTCACATAACTAGGAGAAAACGTGTGCTCAAGACGTGAGCCCGTTCTTCAACGTCACCGTCTGCGCTGGTAATCAAGCAGTCCTGAGCTTTACGGCCACCATGTTGTTTCCCGGCGTCTGTAGGCTGTCGATAGAACGCACCGAGATAGACCGAATCGAGAAGGAGCTGTGAATGTTTTTTAATGCATCGCATCATCCTAGTGCTTGACGCACAAGCACCACGGCCGATACTCTCTGACAAGCAAACCTCGAGAGGCAAAGCTAGAAAGAGTAGGCAGCACCGCGCTTCGGCAGCGTTAGGCATGAACGACGACAGCCGCCTGCAGCTCGCGACACTCGACCGTTCAAACTCTGGCAGTTCACAACCGAGTTTCAGCACATGACACGACAAGCTCGCAAATGGCTGGCCATGCTGAGCTGGTAGGTAGGAAGCTTTTACATAAGCAATAGCGAGTTACGCGGCCGACGCGCCCTCTATGGCCGGCCACACGTGATAGCGGGCTCAGCTTTGGCGGGAAGGGCGGAGGCTGAGATACGGGCAAAAGAAACGAGACGATCGACTGCCTCTCGAAGCATAAACGGTCAATGTCTGCGCTGTAGAGCCGCACGTATCGTTTGCGTTTGCTGGAACTTGACCCCATCGATCGGTTCGCAAGAACCGGACGTCTTGTATTCCCTCCGACAAGCGGTGAGTTTAGTCGACGGAAATTGGAGAGAGCCTCACGCAGGTCAAGCAATTTGGCTCGCTATGGTGCGCGCGAACCGAGAGGGCGCAGATATGAGGGGGGAAGGGGGCGTAAGGTGGATGCCGAATAGCAGTGCTATGCAATCAGTTCGTAAGGTGGAGGCGAAGCTTCTCCGTGTCTACTCTTTGCGTGACTAGAACGCATGTGTGCGAAGTGGTTGCCTGCAAACTCAGACGCAGACACAACAGCACACAGACAGCAACAGTTTCGTACAAACAACGCAGGATTGGCATGCGCACCGATGTCTTCATCTGCGGCACGTGAGAAACGGTGCAGAAAGAAGGCAATGGGGAACATCGGCACTCGGCAGCAGAGAATGCCCCTCGACCTTTTTCCTCGAGCCACTCAAGTGCATGTGTTCTGTCGCTCGCTGTCATTGTTGTTGTGGATAGCGCATTGGCACGATCAGTCGCCGTCTCAATGTTCCCTCACGCTGCCCTTTAGCACATCAACAGCACCTCATACCACTAGCTTCGTACCACAGCAACCATAGCAACAATATGGCCACTGTAGCACCTCACAGCGCACGACTCACCCCACTGTCGCCTACAAGCATCAAAAGACATCGACGCGTGATCGCCCGGACGAAGTCAGTCCATTCGACTGGATCGCTTGCATCATCAAGCCACGAGCTCTCGAGCTTGATCCTCTATCGCAAGTCATAACGCAGAACCCGCCGTTGAGCAAGGTGCATGGACGCCCAATCGGAAGGACTTGCCGTAAGCTATTGCCCAGTGGAAGACAAGTGTCAAAGGAAGCACTACACCTCCGCTTCTTTCAGCACGAACTTCTTAATGTGGCGTACAATGCAGCAGTGTTTAGCCACAGAGGATTTGCACCACCTACATGTGCATCACCCGCTCAGTTTGCAGCTTCCGAGAGACCGTTTACGAGGTTAGCGACGACCACATGCACCACTGAACGAGTCCGTTCCTCTGTCTCACGCCTCGATTGCTTGTCTACTTGCTCTGTGAAGCCACATGATCTCGGCCCAATTGCTGCTAATATCACGTTGAATAGCCGAAGGACGGGAAGCCGTCGCTTCGTCAAGCTGCTAGCAAAGTCGAGTGAGCATCAGACTGATGCTACGACACAAGTACAAACTGTACACACCCGCGGGCGTCGTGGTTGACTCACTCGCTGTATTCCGTACCCGTTCTTGCGGATTGCTGCGCTTTTGTGTGTGTGTGTACTTTGCACACGCTGATGAGGACCAACGGATGCTTCCGTGGCGATGGACCTTGAAGATCCTTCGGCACGTGTCCCGCTTTCTCGTACATTCAAGACACGGCCAGTGAGTCGGTCACGTGCCGTCGGCCGAATCGAGAGCCACGTGCATGTTCTGTAGAAAGAGTCGGACCAACAGCGCAGAGCGTAGTCTTCGTTGCAGGCACTGGCTGTAGGCCACGCAGGCTCTTTGTTGGCTCCTACTCGCGTCGAGTGCTACGTTTCGTCCAAGTTCAAGTGTTGGTAGCGTGCAAGCCGTCGATCCAATGTCCCAACGTGCAATGACTTTCCATCGTTGCAATGAGCAACAGGTCCGTAGATCGCACGATGACTGACCGATCAGGTCCAAAGGATCGCAGGGTGGCACGACGCCCCACGTCCAGCAGAACGCTCTCATGGTATACCTTCCAGGGCAACACGCCCAATGCTCCCTGTTCCAGCGCTCTTTGACGCCTGCCACGGGAGCCTGTGCGCCATAAAATGCCAATCAGTGTCGTTCGACTCCCGCTGCGTCGCTGCACAAACCGGACAAGTCGCAGGACATGGCTTCTGCAGCGTGTGCGACCGTGTCGTCGACGGGCCGTACAGGGCCTTGTTCGACGACGCTAGTCACGATGTACACTTTGGTCGTTGAGAATTGGCACGAGCGATAGATAGCGCGACGTGCGAGAACGGCAGACCGACCGGCCGCTCTACGATCATAGCATGGGCGCCGATATGCAGTCGGTCTTGAGACCAGGTGGTCGCGTCGCAAGCACATCGGGGCCCACGGTTTTTTTTCGCTCTCGTGACCACAGCTCGTTGATGACCAGACGGCGTGGACACGTAGGGGGGGGCACACTGGTCGCACTGATCCCGAAGCTCACGTGTCTCGTCTTCGGTCGCACGGCTCGGGCCATAGCACACGTGGATCTTCCACCGGCTGATGGCGGTCGTGGATTTGAAGGCCAGGCGACCTGAAAGAAAACGACCTTCGAGCGATGCCCGCGGCCTCATACCCAGCCGTCGTCTCGAGCACCTGCACCGTCGTTCGTGCTCGCATTGTGTGGTCGTCTGAAGCCGCTCGTAAAGGAGAGAGAAGCAGACGTGTTTTCGATCGGGTACGAAACGATCCGTTCGTGTGTTGTCGGCTCGATTCGACTCGACTCTCAGAGACCATGCGGACGCTATTGCATCCTGGCGTCGAACCGCTCGACGTGCGCGAAGCCCAATCAGTCTGCTGCAACGTCTTCCTCTCTGGTTAATTCGTCGTCGACGAAAGCGCTGGCGATTTGAAGTGCAGGCAGTCGTCCCCGAGACGCGCTTACGGGCGCAGTGACGCACGCACCATCAACAACCGCAACAAATCGATCCGCGACGTGGACGAGAACAGAAAGGGGTCCAGCGACCGACCGTGAAGTGGCTGATACAGAGAGGGACCTGCGTAGAGCTCAGACTGCTGCTTTAGGTCATGGCCTGAACCAGTGTCTCGTTCTTGTCAGGCTGCTGCCTCCTGCCTCGTGACGTCGGTGGTAGACCCGACGACGAGAGTTGCGTGGTCAGGAATCTCCCTATCTTGTCGATCATCAGGACGGACGCCTTGATGCCTTCCTTCCCTTCTTCCTTCCCTCCTTCCTTCACTCTTGGATTTGCCTCTTGTCACGGCCGACGGCGAACGAACTAAGTCGGCGACTTTGCTGCTCGACTGTCGAAACATGAGCGAAACGGCAGTGTCCGTGATCCGAGTCCTGGCCGCGTGCTCGTGCGCCGTCATGGTCCTGAGTCCGTCCATCCTGATGTATCGCATTTTCAAGCAAAAGGACGTCGGGGCCGCGTCGGTCATTCCACTCGTGGCGCTGTTTGTCAATTGCCACGCCTGGTCAGTCTACGGCTACATGACCCACGACTGGGTCCCGATTTTCTGGATCTACTTTCCAGGCGAAGCCGTTGCGATCGTGTTCCTCTCAGTGTACTGGAAATGCACCACCCACCGCCGCTACGTCACGCGCGTGCTCCTAGTAGCACTTGCACTATTGGCTCTTTTCTCGAGCTACGCCGTCGTCGGGGGCCTGGGCTACACCAACCAGTCGCAAGAGGGCGTACATGCGGTCATAGGCGCCATCGCAGACGTCTGTGCCATGTGCATGTACGCCGCGCCCATGGAAAAGCTGCTGCAAGTTCTCAAGTACAAGTCGGCCGCCTTCCTCAACTCGCACATGGTCATCGCAGGGCTGACGAACAACTGCCTCTGGTGCGCGTACGGCATCTTGACCGCAAACTGGTTCATCATTGCCCCCGCCATTGTCTTCACCACGCTCAACTCCTTCACGCTGGTCCTATGCGTCCTTTATGATCCCAAGACGCACCCGCTTCCAGATGATTTCCATCGCCAGCAAACCACGAGCAATGGGCCTCCAGCTTTGGCTTCGGAGAGCACATCAAAGATGAGTGCTATCAGCCACAAGGCCGAGAGCACAGCCCCCAGCCCGGCGTTCGAAGCGATTCTTTCGCCGCTAACGTCCATTCACGTGGCGAAGGAAACTGCATGGAGCTAAGCGAGGTGGGGAGGTAGGGAGATAGGTCGATAGCTAGAGAGAGGAAAAAACGCCTTAGGAAGTATTTGTTGTATCGTACGTGTTGCGCAGTGACGAAGCTGAGCGAGTAGTGTGTGGTAATAACTGAACAGCAGCGCTGCAGTGGCGCATCGAGTCCAAAGCCACAAGGAACAAAGTGTTTGCTGTCCTCCTTTTGTGCTACGGACGCGTTGATCCCAAGTGCAGGTGCTTTCAAGCAGACAAACGAAACTATGACCTGCTTTGGCTGCAACTTGAGTCGACTCTAGTTCGACAACGCTCTACCTGCCAATTCATCATCCGATGGTCCGTCGATTGGCATGTCGAGCATGGCAACAAATGGTACTTTGGAGCTCAGACTTGACCCAGTTGACCTCTTTGGTGTAGCGCACGAGCAGAGAGAACGTGGTTGCTTGAAGACGAAGACGTCGATGCATTCAGTAGCAACTCAGCGAAGAACCGCAAAGAAGTCGTGCGGTACATGGCTTGCGAAAGAAACGAGCCGAGTCATTAGGCGTATGTAGTTGCCAAGTGGTGCGAATGATGTTATAGTGGATGTGCACCGACATATCTCCTCTACGACAAGCACACTTCGTATCATTATTACGCTGCAAGAAAGCTACAGCTTGACCGAGGGAGGATGCTGCGGCGTCGAGGTCGCACGTCAGTACGACGATACGGTAGATGCAGTACGTATTCGTCGGTGGGTGGATGGATGGTGAGCAAGTACATCATGCTGCCAGTCCAGGGAGGCAAGTAGTTGTTGCAGGGAACAAGACAAGCAATCGTCACCGGCGCTAAACAAAGCACTCGTGCGAAGCGAGTGCACGAAAGTCGGACCTCACACTTGAGCTCACGTCGTGTACACGCCACGCACATACCGCCTACAAGCTGACGTACAAATGTCTTTGAGTGCAAAAGCCTGCTGAACGATCGCCTGCAACGTTGTCCGTGCAGCCGAGTGCCTCAACGTACCGTTCCTCCCTTCTACGTTCGCTCTCGTTGCTTTCTCTATTAACACAGTCACTTCGCTCATTGTCATGACGTCGAGATCGTCGCTAGATCGCTGCAAGTTTCTTGGAAGAGTTACGTCCTGACGCCCAACTTGGAATTGCTGCGGTCTTTTTCAGTTGCGTGCTCGAACGATCGCAGTCGACGTGACGTATCTGACAGTTCATGGCAAAGGTGGCTCACTGCACGTCGTCTAAGGTCCTGCTGGGACGCAAGTACATCGGGTTCAACGGATCGACGGTGACGGACTGATGCAACGACACAAACTCGCGTCGCGTGTATGTTCGTCTCCTGCGTGTCACCAAGTGGTGTTGCACCGGTCAACGAATGGCGAGAAGTAGCAGTTTACCCATTCGAGTGCGAGTTCCCACGATATGTTCGGACGTTGCGATACTCCGCTTGGCGATCAACACGCGCAGTGCTAAGAAGTGAGGCATTTGCAATTGCTGCATGAACGTGCGAGTGCATGCGATGTCGGACGTACAGGCGGTAGATGTGTCCGAACGCAGCAGACATTGCGCTGCCACTGTATCGACACTGTACGTCGCATCACTAGTCCTGACGAACGAGTGGTTGCAATCTCAGTAGATGGAGGATACTACTTCGACATGAGGGCGCGACACGTTATCGTTCGGCAAAAGAGGCAAACGTACGACAGTTGGGCATCGAGATACAGCAACTGGTCGCGCTACATGCATCGAGATCTTGCTCTTCTGGGCCAATATGCTCACTGAACGACCGGGTTTCGTCGTCAATGCACGAGGAACAAACACTTGCAAAACGGCGACTGGCAATGTGAGGCGGTGCTGCTGACCCGCGTCTCAACTCCAGCGCTTTTGACTTGGGGCCATTGCTGCCATCGTAGACTGCACATTGCAACGACTGTACTTGCGCGTCACGTGGCACTAGTAGAAGCTGGCACGCTTTTCTGATGCGATGCTGGCAGACCAAGACAGTAAGAGAGCTGAGAGCGTGCAGACTAGCACGACCTGCGTCAACGAGCGCGTCAGCCTAGTAGACAATCGTTTCGGTCTTGTCCGTGCAGGTATCGGATGCGTGTTGCTCTTCCTTTGACCACGTCCAAGCGGCCAGCCCAAGTGCACGAAGTAGTTCCGCACACTGCAACGGTCGCTGTTGCAACAAGGCGCACGAACGTGTCGATATGAAGAGCTCACTTTACACAACTCGACGGGGCAAAAACGATCAAGACCGGAAGGGGCTTCGGACTTGTCAAAAGTCAAGGAGGTAGTGCACGCGCATAGTCTGCTCTTGTAGGTCTTGCGACAGCATGTGCTGCAACGACCTTGCAGTTGACGGTGCATCCGTTGAGCTTGAGCTTGAGCGTGCGCCATCCGATCTTGATCACGGTGACGCCAAACGAGTCACCATATCGCCATCGATGAAAGGACATGCGGCTGAGCTTCAACGACGAAGGGCCGTCTTCCAACGGGCCGGACAGGAACGTAGAAGAAAAGACACAAAGGCCTGCTAGATCCTGGCACCGAACAGACCTGGTTGGTTGCTGGGCTTCCGCTGGCTACGACTGCTCGAGCACTCACATCTTTCGAGAGCAGATTCTGGGCGAAAAAAGAGAGAGACCCGTACAGGTGAGTTATCCAGCAGGATCTAGTAGTAGCCGGAACCACTTGATGCTAGACACCCCAGCACCGATCGATCGCAGTGTGCACGAGAGACTCGACAAGAAGGTCATGCAACCGCTCACCCGGTGGTGCTGGGCGACTGCTTACCTGTTCAAGCACTGTCGCAGCGCAGCAGGACCATCGAAGAGCTTCCGATCAGGAGCGACTTTTCCCCTTTGCGGCAGGAGAATCGAGTCGAGCCTGTCGGGCTGAAGACAACAACTGGGACGGCAATATATACGCGGCGCCTCACGTTTCCAACATCGCACGAGCCCATGCCGAGGCAACAAGTTGCTCATCCGATCGTTGCAGTAGGTAGTACCAGTCACTTTTGCACGACTATACGAATAGAGCAGCAACACAGCACGTGTACGACCATAAACCCATGTCCCGCGTGAGCTGCTGATACATACACTCGCCGTGGCGGTTCGCGAGCCCACGTACCACGTCACGTCGCCGTGCTGTGCTACAGGTGACATGAAAGATCGTAAGAGCCCGCAGATGGCCGCGGTGCAAAGGGTGTGCAACGTCCTGCACGTCCTTGATAGATTCCGACTCTCGTGAACCCTCGCGACCGGCAAAACCAGTCAGTCTCCGATTCGCTTGGCAGCAAGCACACCTTCCGAAGCTTCTTGCGTTCATCCTCGTTCGACTGGACATCCAACCTCTTACTCAACCGACAAACCAACAAACCTCTTGACCAGAAACCTCGTCGACAATGGTCAATGCAATCCTCGAGACGTTTCTTCGCGTGTTTGCGTCCGTGTCGTCCATTGGCGTGACGCTGAGCATGACGCCGTCCATGTACCGCATCTACCGCAAAAAAGACACGGGCATTGCATCGGTGCTGCCGCTCGTGTGTATGGTCACGAATGCCCACGTGTGGATGCTCAATGGCGCGATCGTGGAGAACTGGTTCCCCATGTTTGCCACGTTCCTCACGTCGGACGTGATTGCCGTCGGCTGCCTCATTGTCTTTTGCTGCTACGCGCGGGACCGCAAGAAGTCGCTGACGTGGGTCGCTATTGCCACTGGGCTTCTGATCCTCATCACGGCGTACGCCATTGCAGGCCACGCAGGGTACACGAACCAGTCGAAAGACGGGATCGACATGACCCTTGGGATCATTGGCGTCATTGCGGGCTTGAGCATGTTTAGCTCCCCGTTTGAGCGCATGTTGAAAGTGCTGCACTACAAGTCGGCCGCGTTCATTCCGATTCCAATGATCGTGGCCGGGGCGTTCAACAGCACCATGTGGGTCATCTACTGCCCCATGGTCGGGCGCTGGTTTTTGTTTGCCGCCAACGCCGCCTGTCTGGTCCTCTGCCTCATCAACATTGGGCTCTACGTCATCTACAACCCCAAGACGCATCCCCTGCGCCTCGAAGACGGCGACCTCGAAGCAGGAGAGTTACCCAAGTTTGACATTGCGTCCGTCTCGGCAATGCGCTCGTCGCACCGATCGGACGGCGATGTTAGTCTCAAGGCCAAACCGCTCATGGCCAGTTCCGCGTACAGTTTGGTCCAGTCGCCGGTGGCCCGGAACTTGTCCGATATTGGCTGCTATGCGTAACGGAATATCACCTTTTTGCTGCATTCGCACATTCATGACCGCTGACTCTTGTGCTGCTGCCAAAGCGGTTGTTGTCTCCTGTTATTATTGTGTGGGGTTTGTGTTTTCTATCAGCAGTTAAGAGCGACGTCGTCGAGCTGTCCGCCGGAGACGGCATGCTGCAAATCTGCATTCAGTGGCTGTCTCTCGTTCTTCTGTCTGTCACTATTACCTGCGAAGAAGCACGAAGGGGTATTGAGGTGTGCATCTGTAGTCAGAGGTGTTGATACGTCGTGCATCAAAGTGTCTTCCTATGTCTGACAGTTGAATTTCGGATCGACATTAGATTGTAAGATACTTTCGACATTGCGAGTCGGCAGAGCTCGAGGCGAAAGGTCCCACGGCCGCACTTGTGCTCACAACAGTGGCACGAGCTCGCGGGCCGCAGCAAATACCGGATAGACAAAACCCTACAGCGCTTTCCAACCCTCTTTGCGTGTCACTTATCACGCTTAACCTGCTCGCGCAGGATAACGACAGCCGTCTGACGGTCACGTGAGGTGTGACTGAACAACAGGTCGCGTTTCGCTGACCGCACAGTGTCGAAACCGACGCCGAGCAAACAGTTTTTACATGACGTCCACGCGCTGCAGCCGCATGAGTTGCAAAAGGATCGACGGACTGACACATGGGTATGCACACGCAGCGTCAGCGTGGCAAGATACCATCATGACAGTCAGGTACCTTGCAACTTGGCAATCGATTGCACAACATGTCACACTGGTGCCGTATGCTGCCCGGTCGAGTGCTCGTTGTGATTGGAAAAGCGCTTGTCGTAGCTACGCGCGCACCGACCGTGAGCACAGAAAACAGCGGCTGCGAGCCAGACGTTCACCGTCAAGAGGTAGTACGTGGCACGTTCGTAGGAACGCAGCTCCCGTTGCAAATCCATAGCCTCGCAAGCACAATCACTACGTAACAAAACCTCTACACAGCAGTGGTCGACGTCCAGCCGAACATGGAAATTGTGGTCTCCTCCCCAAGTCAATCGAGCGAAGAGACGCGACCGTCGCATTTACTCAACTCGCGCTTGTCCGTGGTCGATCATTTTGCCGCCAGTGGGGATGCACTCAACGCGACGCAGGGCCTCCGGTCGTCACAAGCGACGTTCAAGCCGCGGTCGTCTACAGTGACCGACTTGAGCAACCGCTTTGCGCCGCCGAAACTCCACGGCGCGAAGGTTCAGGTCTTTACAAACGACGTCCTGATGGAAGGCGAGCTCACAAAAACAGGCGAGTCGCGCTTGTATACCTGGACAAATGTATGGGCAGTAGCAGCAGTGCACGTTTTGTCAATCCAGTCAGTGCGTACTGGATCACAAAGCTGACGTGAGGGACTAACGTCAACGGTCGTGTGTCATGTTGATGTTGATGATGTTGATGATGATGTTGATGATGTTGATGGTAATCGTTATGTCTGACTTGACAGCGCATGGTCGTGCTTCGGGGCCAGGAACTGTCGCACTACACTGTCCATCGACAGCAGCGGTACGGAGCGCTCCAGGGGACTCTTCACATTGCCCACGCAACGGTCGAACGGCAGGACACCTTGTCGTTTCGTCTGCACTTGGCCGACGGCAGGACTTGTGCGTTTGGCGCGTGCAATGTCCAGACGCTGCTGGACTGGATGACAGCCATTGCAATTGCTGCCGACGCTCGCAGTGTCGAGCCCTCGACGGACGACTTGTCCCTAGTCGACCATAGCCGCACGACGCACATCTTGTTGGTGCGCCACGGGCACTATGTCCACTCGGCCACACCTGCTACCGACCTGCAAGGGCCATTGACGGAAGCGGGGCGGAAGCAAGCGCGAGCAACGGGGACGTTTCTCCACACGTATCTCGCCGAGCGGCTGGTGTTGAAGCGCGTGTCAAAGATTCCAGTGTACCACAGCGGCATTCGTCGAGCCATTGAGACAGCCGAGCGAATGGGCGAAGCGTTTCCCAGAGGATCGCTGCAGCTTCTCGAGAACAAGTTGTTCCGTGAAGCGTGGCCAGGCAATCCGCTGCCGGAGAGCAATCGCCAGCAAGTGGCGAGAGAGCGGTTGGACAACATGGCGTCGGACTGTGCCCGGCTGAAAGTGGCCTACCGTCTCATGTTTCGGCACTTGATTCCACAGGATCTCGAAGCAGAAGAGCGCGAGCTGAGCGAAGTGGACAAACAGCGGTATGCCAGTACGGTTGGCCGGCACTCGACGCAGACTCGAGCAAGCGATCGCTTTCGCATTGTCGTGTGCCCCGCAAATACGATCCGCTGGTTCGTGTGCAAGGCACTGGGGGTGGACCCGGATGGGACGTGGGGCCGCATGCGCTGCAATCACTGTAGTATCACAGCGATCGAAGTCGACAGCGTTGGCAACTTGCAGCTTACGTACATGAACCAGACGGGCCATTTGAAGACGACAGAGCTATCAGAGGTATAGTGTTGAGCGATCTCGGAAGCGCTGTCTACGCTACGTGGAACGAGACAATAGGGTGCCGCCATACTCGATGCGAATTTGAGACGATAGCAGCAGCACATGACGGCATTGTATGTGCTGATGTTCATTATCAATTAACGAGCGAGCTCGATCCAGCTGCTCTCAGTACCGAATCCAGCTGCTTATTGCCTGCGAGTCAAGCAACGGACTACAAGCTCAGAACTTGAACACCTGCGTACTGGTGTACCCGAGCTCCTTGAGCAGACCCGAGACCTCTCCCTGACTACGGTCAGGCGCCTTGTTGCCCGAGATAGCGTCCACCATGGGCGGGGGTCCGCACACGCCGATGAAGCTCTCGTTCGACGGACCAGGCAGCAACTCCTCGACGATCTGCTTGTTCACATAGCCAGTATAGCCTTTCCAGTCCGCGGCGGGCTGGCTCAGGACGTGGTGCACCTGAAACTGCGGGTACATGTGCTGCAGCGCATCGAGCTCGTCGCGAAGGATGATGTCCTTCTCCGTGTGGTTGCAGTAGACGAGCACTACTCGCGTCGAGTCGTCCGGGTTGCGGCAGATCGTCTTGATCACTTGCAGCGCTGGGGTGATGCCCGATCCACCGCAGATAAAGCCAATGCTCTTGTGCTGGTTCGGCGTGTACTCGAACTTGACGAACGGACCTTTCATCGATAGCTCGTCGCCCACGTTGAGGTTGACAATGTGCTTGCTCATCTTTCCGTTCGGATAGCCCTTGACGACAAGATGGAGCTCGCCCTTCTCCGCATTCGTGTTCGTCGGCGTGTACGGACGCACCACCTCTTCGCCGTTCAAGTCAAACTTGGCCATGAGACAGCTCGCAGTCCTCGTGCCCACTTCGTGCTCCTTGGAAGGCAAGGCGAACACCAGGTGCTTGGTGTCGTGGGTGATCTGCTCCACCTTGGCCACCTTGAACGAACGGAACTCTTTCGGGCTGAGGGCCACTTTAGGTTCCTCGGCGCTGCGTGCGACACTCGAGACGCTTGCCAGGCCCAAGGCAGACACCATGGCAGTGGTCGAAGCAGCGCTGCCTGGTTGACGAGACGCGAACCGAAGCATGGACGTGAACATTGGTACTTGCAAACGTGGCTCAAATTTGGAAATGGTTGACGTCTTGCGTCCCTCGTTTCAAAAGACGTCCATCATGCTCCTCCTCACCCTTATTGGCTGAGCAAGAGAACCCGTCAAATACTCTACTGCGAGCGGCTTACACCGTGACGAAACCGGTAGGCGTTGACACTGTCGCGTGCTGGACTCGTCGCAAAAACACGGCGTGAGCACGCGTGAAGCGAATCCTCGATCTCTGGCAGATGCGCTCAGTCGAACGAAAACGTGTCGGCGGCAGACCAGTCCACGATACTGCCGCTGATGTGGGAGCGCCCGAGTGAGATGCGACTGACTTTTTTTGGCTTGGAAACACGGGATCGGTGCGGTGCCTTTGTTGCCGTGCGACCCGTGGACATGTTGTCGCAGAGCGGACCCATCTGTTCGAAATCGCTGTTAGTCCTCAGTCGTTGATGCAAGGGCGCACAGCAGATACGAGCATGATGCACCTCTACTACCTGTGGCTTCGTGACCGCAACCTGAGGTTGTTCCGCCGTCTTAGTGGGTGCCTCCGTTATCCGTGTACGTTGCGATGCCTCACGGGCACTGTCGCATCGCATTTGCGATTCGAGAGAGTCTTGACTCGCCATGTCGGCCGCAGGATTCGCTTGAGCGCTAGATATAGTGCTTGCGTCACTCGTAGAAGGTAGAGTTGGTGTGATGCTTGCGATCCGTGCTGGTTTTCCTGCTTTCTGCGCTGGTGTGCGTCGCTTCAATCGGGGCTGGCGTGTTCCACTTCGTTTGTGCTGCCTTGAAACCGCTGAGTGGCTACCATCCTTTCTTGTTGCCTTTGCTGCTGGCACTACAACAGCAGCGGAGTCCGTGGTTAGCACGTCCGTCAGCTCCTTGTCTGTCTGCGGCGACTCTTCCGCCAGGTTTAGCCCAGGTGCGAGCTGACGTCGAGCAGACTTCGGAACAAGCTTCTGCACTCCTTTCGTCTTTCGCTGCCTCGGCTTTACCAGGCATTTTTTAAGTTTGGTATCCTGCAGAGCATCAGTGCAACACGCAAGCTTCAGTGCTAGAAATCATACGCCAGCATCGAAGGCCTTTCAATGTTCACATACCTTGCTGGCCGTGGCATCGTTACTCGGACGTTCCGCTCTTGACGGGTTGGTCTGTTGAACTTCAGTTTCGTTGTCTTCACAACCATTTTCAGAAGCCGAAATGTCCATGCTGCTATCGATTGCAGGGTCGGGTCCGATGGCAGACACCGCATGTATGTGGTTTCCGCACATCGATTCTTTCGTGTAAGCGTTCATGTTCGTGCGCTGCGTGTTGCATGCTACGGCCCCATCTATCTTCTTTGCAACCATTGCGTTGTATTGCGTTTCCTGCATCGGGAAGACCGTTTTGTTCAGTTGGCTGGTTGATCAACTGGTCTACGTGAGGTAATCGCATCAACGCCACATACCTTTTGTAGCAAGATCCTGCCATACTTTCTGCGAGCGGCGGTCCATGTTTCGTTGTATTTCTGCTTGATCTGGAATGTTCACGACGTCAGTATATCCTCGATTGGCCATACGTGTCAAAAAAGCAACGTCTACCATGTCCGTCTGGCAAGCAATCGTAGTATCATCGACCTTGCTGGTGCCCTCCGTTGTTCGACTCGCGATCTAAGACGCGCAACAGCAGTGTCGTTAGTAACAAGTGACGCTTGTGCTATCTTGTCCGCATACCTCCTTATCCAGCAGATCAATCAAGACGCCCGCATCATCGGTGACAAAAGTGCCCAAGAACTTGTCGCGCACTTCGTCGGTATGATTCTTCACCGCGGTTTGGGCTACAGCAATGCTGTTGCTCAACGTTGTCAGCGTCTGATGTGTGTGTTGCACTTCAGACTCCAATTTAGTGCAGGATGAGCGCAGCTTTTCAGACTCCATATCATGCGCAATTCGGAGCTGCTGAGTGCGTTCAACATTCAGGAGCGCTTGATCTAGTGTGCTCTGCACGGATAGTATCTCAGCGTCGACAAGCGTCTGTGTGGCTGTAGACTTTTCCAGTTGCTCCTGTTTTGGGGCTAGTTTTGTCGTCAATTCTGCAAGCACCTTGGTCTTCTGGCCGGCTTTTTTGGTGGCAGCAGCCACCTTTTTGTTGCAGGCAACGATGGCCCGCTCTGTCGTCTTCAGTTGCTTTTCAGCATCCTTCATTTGGCCATCATGCAGACCCACTGCTGCTTTGTGCTCGTTGAGAAACGCTTGGTAAGCTGAAACATGCAGCATAGTCAATAGACTGCCATACATCAGCACCATTGCGGTCCATACCGGCTTCATCGGCATCGTGAGCCTTCTGTACTTCTTTCAGCTCGTTTTCCAGGTGCTTGCGTTGGCGCTCCAACCATAGTAGCTGTTCATCCTTCGCCTGCTCGTGATAACAGGTGTTCGTCAAAATGCCTGATCGATGCTCGTTCGACGCACAATATCACCTTAATGCTTGACTGCGTAAAGACAAGCCACTCCTTTTCTTGTTTCCGTCGCAGGGCCAGCTCTCGTTTGTAGAATTTCGTGTTCGCCACCTCGTCCTACACCACACTCAATCGTCAGCGAGTCATTGGCATTCCCATTGTACGCTGGGCGTACGTTGACATGCTGCAACTGCGTCTGTAGCTCCTTGGCCAGCTGTAGAACTTCTTCATCCGTCGGACACGTCGGCTTCAAACAGACGAATTAGTAGATGAAAAGCATACATCGTCTCAATTGATGTTGCTGCTCGTACCCCGTTGCTCTCAAGCAGTTTCTGGAGCTCTCTCTTTTCACTACAAGCAGCAATTTTCGTATCACTAGCTGCCAAGAGTGTCCAGCAGCTTCTTTGCATCGACCAATGTACCTCGTCGCGTCTTCGTTTGCCATGATGAGCTGACGCTGCTCTTCATGCGCCATACCTTCGTAGTTCTGCCAGCACTATCGAACACGAGGGGAAAACAGCGCACACGATGTAACGAGAAGCAACAAAGTCAACGGGCAAGCAAACACAGGTGCTTACTATCTCGAGATCATCCAGTGCAGCCTTTTCGAGTTTCAACGCGTGGTCCACTTTGTCAAAAACTGCGGCTTCCTGCTGGGCACGCTGGCTCGCACCTTCCAGGTGCGAGTCTGCCTTAGCAAGCGCAGCTTGATCGAGCTTCAGAGTCCGATCCGATCATCATTGCACGAGTTCGTCAGCCACCAGACACCCCCTCTTATACGACAGAGAGAGCGCAATCGCATCACCTCGAGGTTCCATAACGTCGAGTGCGTGTCTTGGCGCATGAGGCAAAGTGTGTTTTGCGCTACCACAATCCAACGCAACAATTGTCCCACACATCACACACAGAGACACATACACACACACAGACAGACAAACACCTCAGCTCGTACCTATCTTCAGGCGCTCAGCCTTTGCGGTGAGCGCCACTGTCGCCCGTGCCAGCTGGTCTTCACGTCCCATGCACTGCCGCTCCAACGCCGTGTGCTTGTCCAAGAGCCCACGCACCACGTCCTGCAGCACGCGGCACTTCTCGGCCGTCGCTTGCAGCTCATTTCCGCCAATCACGTCGCGCGTTCCAGCGCGTGTCCCTCGTTCCTCGTGGGCGTGACGCGCGTCGTCGCCGAGTTGTGCCCGAAGCGCCACGAGCTTCTCCCAATGCACCCGCCGCCTCTCTCTAAAACAGACGTGTGCAACAGACCACACATCAAGAGAGCGAGTACGTCAGCACCTGACGCGTTCGTTAAGTGCGAACCGACCGGCAAGACGACGTACTGGAGCTGCCCGTTCGTCGTGAGCACGTGCTCGTGACGCTCGCGCAGGGCACAGAGCGTCTCGTGGCGCTGACTGAGGACCTCGTCGAGCTGTGTGAGCTCGCGCTGCAAGCGCTGTTCCTTTTTGGCCACACTGCATGCAACGATCAGGTAACTTAGTCGCCCGTGATGCGGATAGTGTGTGGACGTATGTACCCCACTGTAGACAGAAACGCAAGTCGAGATCGACTCGACGTACAGATTGAGCGACAGAGGGACGAGCGTCTGGACGTCCTGCGACGCCGACGTGTCGTTGATCGAGTCCATCGTTGGGTCGGGTAACGTGCCCATACGGTGTGTGTGTATGTGTTGGTTGAGGATGCGCCGAGAAGGGGAAATGCGGACGCGCGGAGCGGCAACAATGCGCGTGCAGAGTGATGGTCGTAACTTCAACGTTGCCGGGGATGCTGGAATCAGATCGGGGAAACTCCACGTCTCTCTGTTTTAGCACGTGTTTCTTGTTTGCGTGATTCGAGTCGTAAATAAGAGTCGGTGTAGAGCATGAGGGTCTCGCAATCACAGCGACGCGCCCGCAATGGACAGACTGCGGCGTTGAATGTAGAAACCACCGACTGATGCATTCGGAGGTGGACGATGATGCAGAACGGACTCGGCGCAAGAGTTTCTACGTATGCTTATTGCAGTCTCTAGCACGTTGTGCTTGTGATATATGGAGAAAAGATCGATCTTTCCGGGGCTCGTGACTTGTGTGATCTACGACATGCACATGTACACAAGGCACTTGTGACGGGAATGGCTGTATGTGTCGACTTGCATCGAGTGCTCGAGACGCATTATTGCATGATGACATGCTCTAACATGGGCTTGTTCTTGCAACTTCTGGACCACCGAAACAAGCACGACTTGTCGGCAGACCATGCTACTGCCAATACGGTATATCGAACGCCATAGCTCTATCGCTCCAACGCACTCTATCGATCCGCGTATGTCGACATTACGTTCATGGTGGTAGCAGTAGGCGTTGAAACAAAGAAAGGAATGGGGTGCGCTTGCAGCAAAGAGCACACTTTCTGCAGATGGGGCAAAGCCGCCCACTTTCTGCTAGCACCATAGATTGCATATTGAATGGGTACGACTGCTGGCAGCGTAGTTGACAGAAAGTATCGAATGTTTGGGTGCGAGTTGCTGTACTTTGCTGCGCCTGGTGCAGCTCGGTGGCCTGACGAGGTTCGACAGTGTTCAGCAGGGTGAACGTCAGCACCATTGCCTATTCGACGTGCACTTGGACCATACTGAAAGACACATGTGTAGCAAGGAGCTCGGCATTCGTACGGTCGGGAGGAAGCAGCACTCGTATGTCAATCGTCGCAACATCTACCCATGATATAGCTCACTGTTGGCTACACGACGAACAGGTGGTCGCCTTCTTCGATTTTCTCTTTAGTCCGTCGTGCGCAAAGGTGCGTTCTTTCTACTAATTACATGTATGTCAGGGTACAGACTGTAGACTCCCAATTGTGCAGCCGACGACCAAACAACAGCGGCAAGTGCAGTTTGCTTTTCAGAGTCTGTCTGTCTGCCGATCTGTCTATCTGTCCGTCCGTCCGTCTGCCTGACGTGGAGCGATCCGCCGTTGGTTTGGCTGAGGAAAAGGAAAGCCAGGGAAGGCTCGGGGGGGGCTCCATGTTTGCTCTATCGCGCAGCTAACGCACGTTCGGCCATAGTCTTCGCGCATACAAGTAAATGTCCTGTACCAGAAGCAGAAGCTCCGTTTTGGCGTGCCGGTAGAAAAGACTTGCGCCAGTGGCCGGCAGTTGAAGCTTCTACGAAGCAGTTTCAGCTCCAAAAGAAAAAGTGGTCAGTGCGTGGAGTTCATCAGCGAGCCGTACTTAGTCGCGACGCACCGCCACTCGGCCGCAATCAACGAGTTCGTGCCATGCGACAAGACGAAACCGATCCACACATAAAACGCCATGGGGTTCGTTCTATCTACCAATATTAAGCACCAGACTGTTGGGTCGGTCAATTGCAACGACATGGATAAACACACGATCGAGACTGCAGAGAGAGGAGGCCAACAAAACACTACCGCTGCGGCCTCCCCGTCCTCCAGTCCGTGCCGCAAGACTCCGATCGCCTTCGACCACCTCACTCCCCGCCACTAACACCAGCGTCACTAACGCGCCTAACGCGCGCCAGCACTACGTACTGCTCGAGGGTTTATTCTACGTCTTGCACATTCATGTCGCCCTGGTTGGCGTCGGCCGTGTCGGGCTCCTGGTCCGACGTCCACAGCGTCAAGTTGTCGCGCAGCAGCTGCATGATCAACGTGCTGTCCTTGTAGCTCTCCTCCGACAGCGTGTCGAGCTCCGCAATCGCGTCGTCGAACGCCTGCTTCGCCAAGTTGCAGGCGCGGTCCGGTGAGTTCAAGATCTCGTAGTAAAAGACCGAAAAGTTGAGCGCCAGGCCCAGGCGGATCGGGTGCGTGGGCGGCAGCTCGGCCATGGCAATCGTCGACGCCTGCTTGTAGCTCTCGAGCGCCTTGTCCGACGACTCCTTGCGCTCGTCGTCGACCTGGAACTCGGCCAAGTAGCGGTGGTAGTCGCCCTTCATCTTGTAGTAAAACACTTTGCCCTCCTCGCTCGACGAGTTGGGGATCAAATTGTTCTCGATAATCGTCAAAATGTCATTGCAAATGTCCACGAGCTCGCCCTCGATCTTCTGACGGTACGCCTTAATGTGCTCGCTGCGCTCCGAGTCGCCCTTGTTCTCGATCGACGAGATCACGCGCCACGACGCGCGGCGCGAGCCAATCACGTTCTTGTACGCCACCGACAGCAAGTTGCGCTCTTCGACCGTGAGCTCCACGTTGTGGTTGTTCGCCACGGCCTTCATGTGGTCCACCATCTCGTCGTACCGCTCGGCCTGTTCGGCCAGCTTGGCGAGGAACACGAGCGAGTCACGGTCCATGGTGGTAGCAAAGGGGTAGGGGGGGAGGAGGAAGGGAAGGGAGGGGGAGAAACAGGCGGGAGAGAAGAGCTAACTCGGGCGCTTGGGCGGGAGCTAGGAAATCGGATACTGGCGACACAGAGGGAGGAGCGGCGCGGGTGCGCAAGAGGCGAGCGACGGGGTGAACGGACCCACCAACCATACTACAACCAAGTGCAAATACGAGTGATGGTCGTCGTGACCTCGCCCGTTGCAGCTGCAACGCCCGTCGCACTTAGCACGGAGCGAACGGGGTTTTTCACGACACAAAGACGCCGCGCCAATCGTCGCGTCGCGGGCAATTGCGACCCCACGGTGCACGACGACGCGACGCCAACTACGCAACAACAGCACCATCGCGTCGACGTGCCACCAGTCTTCTCGAACACTGCAGCGCAGTTCGATGTCCGTCTCTCTGGCGGAGAGCGCGGCCACCCGACACGCAGGCGATGGTAGCCGTCGGCTCGCGGATCTTGGCCGATCTAGCATCGGATTGAGCAAAAGTGTGGCGTATATTCAGCCAATCAAAATGCGTACACACGGTATTCGGATGATCGAAAAAGACGGCCACCTGCTTTTCGGACGGTAGTGCTTTCGTAAGGTGTAAACGTTTCTCTGCTGTCGACTGTATCCCAACTCTCACAAGTACGCAGCTGCTGCACTTCTTGCCAGTAGGCAATACCAGTCATGGGACGACTAGATGACGCAGTCTTTGCCCCCTCTTGACACAACGTATCGCATCGCGCCATGCAATCGTCGCCTGGCCCGTTGAGTGTTTGCGTGCTTTACGCACGACGAGAATCGGTTCCGTGCAGCTCAAATCCCATTTCCCCACTCAGCCTGCAAACTTTCGCTACGATCGTCGATCTGGCTCTTCATGCCCCTCCGCCAGTCCTGCCCTGTCCAGCCAAAAAAGAAGGCAGCCGTTCTTTGTGCACAGCGCCAGCCGCTGCCCTGTGTCCGCAGCCCTTCTGGCCAAAAACCAGCTCGTGCCACAAGCAGACGCCCACGACATCGCGTCGATTGCAGCGATACCGAAGCGCACGTTTCATGTCGTTTCACAGGTCTCGTTTGCACAGTGTTCGCACTGCGTCGCAGAGGCGACAACGATGCGATTCACGAATCGACTCGTTTCCACAGGTCGTCTTGTTTTCCACGCACAGCAGCACAAATGGTCCGTCGTCTGCCCGCTGTCGCCGAATGTTACTCGCAACACCCGCTGCCTGCACAGTCCACAACGTACGTGACAACACGTTGCCGCACGAGCGCCAGCAACAGCAATAGCAATCGCAGCAATAGCAACAGCAACAGCGACTCTCCCTTGCCGCCATGGGCATGTCCCTCTCAATGCAAAAGTTCCTCGCCACGCCCTTAGCCGCGCAATGGAAGTTCCCGTTTGTCGTGAACCCGCGCTTCTGTCGGCGGCGCGTCACGACGTTTGAGCTCACCGACAACTTCTGGGCGCACGCAGTGGACGCCAACGGTTATGCCGTGCGGGAGGTCACTTCCGGCCGCATTGTGTTCCGCGTCGTGCCGGCCATTGACGGCGAAGAAGCAGATGGCTACACGAAGTGGCTGGTCGACGAGTACGGCATTCCCGTCGCTCACTTGAGCCATCGAGGCCTCGACCCGCACCACGCGCACACGATGCGGTACGACGTGTGTCTCGGCAAGCGCCGCGGGCCGCTGTTAAAGGTGCTCACGACGTTTTACATCAAGTGCTCGCCAGGCCGAGGCGAGCCGCTGTTTGCCGAGGTGGCGGACGTCCACACTGGCGGCAAAAGTCGGCTGCGGTGCCACGGCATGTGGCGACAGCGCGCGGCTGTGCTGTACCTGGAACGAGGTCGGGGCGGACGACGGGAACCCATTGCAAAGGTCTTTCGTCCAGCCAGTCATCGCATCACGACGCTCGGGAGCACTGGCGGGTACCACGTCGAGACGGCCATTGGAGTTGACGTGGCGCTCGTTGTGCTCGTGTGTGCGGCGATGGACGACGCCAGTGTACCTGTCCATCGGCAGCTGTCGGGTGGCCACGAGACGGCCGACACAGCAAAGCACGAGAAAGTCGCAGGAGGGCAGCAGGACACGTAAGCCGATGTATATAGATAGATAGATATCTCTCTCACCCTCCATCATGGGCGAAAGAAAATAATATATATAGACACTGTCGCACATCGACGGCGCGCGCGACCAGCACGCGCAAAGGTCGACAAGAGCTCTTCCGACATGGGATTAAATAATTAGTCGCGGGCGTAGTGGTACCTACGCCACTTTCCCAGCGCTTGTCCCGCGTGACGGCGTTCTCCATCAACTGCAACTCTGCAACTCTGTATGTAGTCGTCAGTCGTCAGTCGTACGACGCGTTGGTAGTGCGTGAGTCAGTCGCCGAGGATCGTCATCACGAGCTCGTCGTCGATCTCGAGGCAGTCTCTGCTCCAATTCGATGCACTCGACAGCGGTGGCTGCGAGCTATTGATCGTGTCAAAGTGGCTCCTGGTCAGGTGCTTCCCGTCTTCGATCGCTTCGAAGGCGGCGATCATCACGGGACTCGTTTCTTCGGCCCGCTGGAGACACCGGCCGCAGAACGCGCGTTTCGTAGACGTGACCTTCCGCCGACTCGGCTGGACGAACCGCATCTGCCGGTACACTGTGCAGCTCGCGCACACGCGTTCGTCGCAGGCACTGCACTGTCGCTCGGCGCGCCGGGGCCAGCGACTGAACGCGCGGTAGCACTCGGCGCAGCAGCCGCCTTCGGTCGAGTTCGACAGCGTCGGGTTGCTCGAGTGCAAGAGCCACGCGAGCTTCTTGAGCTCAGCGCACTGCGCGAGTCGATGGAGACTGTGCATTTTGGCCAGAGCGCCCCCGAGCAAGACGCCGTCGCGGGACGTTGAGCCGAGCATAAAGACCTCGACGAGGCCTGGTGTTGGCTGGCGGTAGACGTAGCAGAACGAGATGACGGCTTGTTTCTTCTCGGCGCGACGGTGGCCGTCGAGGTCTGGAATCGCCACGGACTGCAGCAGCTCGTAGCCCACGCGCTCGCCCTGGTCGAGTCGCGTCATGCCCGTCGACTCAATGTACACGGTCTCCGTAAAGCGCGACCGGAAGAGCGTGCCCGAGGCCAGCGCTGCACCGTACCGCAGGCCTCGCCATCGCAGCGTGCACGAGTGCAATGGATCTTCAAAGTTGGACGATCCCAGTGGCGCCGCGAGCAGCCGCTCGTCGACGTTCGTGTCGCCGAGACACGATGCGCGCAAGTGCGTGGCGTCTTCGGTGCCGCTCTGGAGGCCAAACATCACGGACTCGAGATCGCCTGGGAAGGTCCCGACCATCAACGTGGCGGGCAACAAGCGCACGTCGTCGGTGACAACGTCATAGTCGGCCAAACGCGACCCCAATTTGCGCGTACTGTCGTTGGTTCGGCTGTCGTGGCTCCATTGACGCCGCCGTTCTTCGTACATGACGAGGTGGCGAAACCGAGCGACTCGTTTCCAGCGCGTGGCGTCAATGACGTTCGGGTGACGCGTTGCGCCGACATAGTGTCTGGACATGTGGACGGTCTCCTGCACGAACGAGTCGCTCATGCTCAAGAGCGCGGCCGTTTCTTCCGGCGAGAGCTCCTCGACCAGCTCCTGCTTTGCTTCCAGCAGCTTCATGAAGCGACTGGGGGGAGGCAGCACTACGACCACGTGGGTGAATTACTGAATGCAGTTTGCTCTCGAGTGGACGTGTGCGTTCATGAAACGGGGCGCGACAACAGGTCAGTCAGTGGGTCTTGCTACGCTATTTGGAAGACAGGGCTCGGCCGACGGCAAATGCCGTCGCTGCTACGCGACCAGCTCCACTCGATTGTTGAGGAGGTGACACGACTTGGACAGCCTCAAGGGGTACAGTTGATCCTCGCTCCATTCCGACGCGATTCCGGCTATCGCCGGGTCAAGATCGCAAGCAGCTGACGCGGCCGCGTCGTTACGTGCGGACGTATCCAAGAACAAGAGGTGTGATGGGTATCCACAACACGGTGCTACACAGTGGGCGTCGTCGACCTGTACACGAGACCAGGAGAGCAGCACGACCACAGTATCCGCACCACCACGTCTTTGTGTCTATATGCACGTACGAACCCTCTCGTGGGGCTACGGTGGGTACGACGCAACGCCCGTTTGCCACATGGGGCACACGCAACTTACAACTTGCTGGGACTCGCTTGGGCAAATGATAAAATCCACGCCGCGGGACGCCGCAACCGCATCAGGTCTGCCGTCCAACGGGCTCAAGTCGCCGCTGCAATTGAGACTGCGGGCACAGCGACTCTCTGTCGTCTGTATGTCTGTCTGTCTGTCTGTCTCCTTCTTCTGTTGCAGCAAATCTTCCGAGAGACAATTCCGAGGCAGTAGACAGTCGCGATCGCGATCTCCACGAAATGTGAGGATCGCGATCAGCCCAACCGAAACGCCGTGATCGCAATAACTTCCCACACGCGGAGAATAGCCCTCGCACCGTCCTACGAGTCGAATAACTGTAGTCACAAAGTGGCTCTGTGCTTTCCAAAGGCCGCGTTAATCGGTCCTACTGCCGGCCATAGTCGTCTACGACGGAAGCATCTCGAGCTGACTTGACCACGCGCACTCGACCCGATCCAGAACTCGGATTGAATCGATTCAGCGCTGGACTGACTTATCTCGAACGATAAAGCGCTTCGTTTGTGCGGCGCCCGTTCTGTTCGTGCTGGTTGGAGCTTTGTCCCACACTTTGAACTGAATAGCTCGCCGCTTGGAGTGATATTTTTTCCCACCCCGTCGTCGCCTTTCTAGTAGTCTGCGCGCAATCGGTCGTCTCCGACGCAAAGTCGGGTGTCTGCATCCGCAGGAATCGTTTGTGGCAACTGTCCATGTCAATTGGCGACAGGGAGACCTGTCGCATTGGCCTCTCGTGAAACTTGAGGTACGTGGACACTCACGCGACGCCGGGGGACCTTATGCATGAGTGAAGTTTGGACACTGCAATGAATGGCCTGATGTGCACTACGATATGCTTGTCTTTGTTGGACAGACCGGGGCAGGCGGATCTTCTTTGTAATCAATCGCCTGTTCGTTTCGACCCAAACTATTCGCGTTCCGTAAGGTCATAGAGGATAATATGTATTCCCGCGTTCGTTGACTCATGATAAGTTTTGAGATGCTCATTCGATAAATTATGAGCAAATTCTAGCACAGGGGTAATAGAGAGCACGCGTTTCCCTGGCGGTAATCTATCGGTGCCCTGCACCAAATATCCCACCTTTTCGATAAAAAGAATGTTAAAGAGAGGTTATATGGAATGCCACTGGATGTAAAATCATCCCTATTATGAAAAGAGCAAATATTTGATTAAGGCTGACATTTAGAGGTGATTAGATATGTTTAGAGATGATATCGATCCTTAAATCAAATATTTATCGTATCAGTCTTACGAATACAAAATAGCGTCAGATTTATTGCGATGAAATGTACGACAGCATATGCTTGATCCGTACCACACAAATAATAGTAGCGGAAACATCGTAAACCTTGTTGAAGGTGCTTCCTATCACACACCACTTATACCTTCGATTTGGACCTGCACATGATTTGGCGATAACAGATTCTAGCGAGATTCAACGAAGCAAGTTAGTATGATGACTGGTTGTATCAACTGCCCTACCACAGGTAAATTATGTGCGGTCGATCTATTGTGCCTTCATCATTTAACATGTCGAAGTTTTCGAACTTGGTGAAAAGTACGTAATGCAGAAAGTTCATATCGTAAAAGCCGCGCATAAAAACATCATTGGCGAAGTAATTCGCCGATGTTGTGCAAACGAATGTTCTTTGCGCTTCACCCAATTGAATTTAGTTGTGGCTTAGATATGGCTAACATCTCAAAAGTATTATCACCAAAAGCCGCGTGGTCTTAGCACCCCACAAGTGTGTTTGTTACCTTAGGTCTATTAGTGGACATCGGCATTTGATGTCCTTACAACAGCCGCCTGGATATTACTATGCCCAATCCAAAACGTTGCAGAGACTTGAAAGTAATCGACCAGTCGCTTTATTAAGTTGTTATTCTAAGCGATTTGATTTGTGAGCAAACGAAGTTGACACATCTCAAGCACGTCCAGTCTAAATATCTAACAGCTGTACCTCTCACATTTTGATGACCGGAAATATAGCTTTTGCACGCTCGAATCGACAGAATTGTACAAGTGTAACGAAACAAGATGAACTTCTTTCTACTGATTATCGCTTCGACCTATCGCGAGACACCGGATTTGGCTCCTGTCGTTTTCCAGATACTGTACATACACTCATGGGGTCAATCACGCATCCTTTAACACGCTAAGCTAGTGCTCCAAAGACGTTGGTTGCCAAGCGGTGTAAGAACGTCGACAACACACTCTTCGATCTTTGCTCAAAAACATTCATATTCGTCGTATTTCTTGGTGACTTTGATATATTATGTAACGATTAGATTCGAAAATTTGATGGTGCGAACAGGTGGACAACGCCGACATGTTTGTTTGTTGCTATGATCTCACTTGCATACTTTCGAAATGTGTACAGCACATTGAGTACAAACTAAAGTTACAGGATGGAGTTTGAATTGTGACGGAACACTGGTTGCTACAACCTGACAACAGTGCGAGGCATACAGTAGGAAAATGAAAAAGTATTATCTAAACCTCCTCAATTGGTCCGCGCACCAGACGCTTTTCGGCTCCCGTCGGCGGCCTCTATAGTGACTTAATAATTGAGAAGAAAGACCTTACTCTTTCCAGCTTTAGCAATGACTCGTGACCTTCTAGAACTTAGTGTAGCTACACATCTATCACACCACAACTACCAAACCTTGCAGCTAAGGTATCGACGAGGAAACAGAATTGATCCTAATGACAACTTCATTGCCAACACAAAATCTCTGTCAGTGCTCACCTGCCTCACTTACACGTACACAGTGGAAGGCAAACTACTTATCGAAAGATCTTAGTGTTAGTATAGCTAAAACTATATCAAGTATCTATAAAAACTTACATCACTTCTTGTTAATTACTCCTGACTTTATTATATGAATATGAGAACATGCACTGTAACGTCTACTCACCACCCATTGCGCGCGTCGAGCAGCTATTGGTGGGTTAAAATACTGGCCTATATCAACCAACGAAGAGACCCTTGGGTCACCGAGATTACACAGTGTGTTGTGATGTTCTCAGGAAAAAATTATTAAATCCGTAACACCCCTCATCATCATTTACTTAAATTGATAAAAACATGTTACAGGATGATCCTGTCACATGAATCGTGCAATTGTATTTAATTTTTTTGCAAAACAGCTATGAATTATGGATTGCATATATCACATGAAAGACCATGAAGTTACAGAATCCATGATCGACGACAATACTATGGGAGCTTTAATTCCGACATTTTGGATATACAATCAATGCATGAAAGACATATCCAGTATCCTGAATGATATATCATCAGTCTAGTCGATTTTCTACGATCATGGGTTGTTAGTAGGGTATGTCAGTATGATATCAGTGGAATGATACGACTAATCCTTTACACGAAATAAAAATCGTATCTAGAAACGTTTATGCGGGTATGATTGTTGTAGTGAAGCGGCGATCACAAGTTTCTTGCGACACCGACTATCTACTGGCGCCCAGGTAATCGACCATCGAAGGAGATACTCCGTTTCTGCTCCTGTTTACTCCCCCACCTTATGCACCAGTCGATAGGGCGGGTTGCACTCCGTTTGGCGGACGAAAGTGATCTAGCAAGTTCCAACATCGGTGTAGAGACCTCGTGCATAATCGGTACGATGTAAATTTGTTTGAGGCGCTCATTTCAAGTAATCACGATATGCCTTGACATCACCTTGTTCCACTATGCGGTGCTAGATCTCACATGATTATAAATATGACGATATGAATTGTTTGCGATCCTGTGAGTATTATAATTGCTGTGTCTAATCGAAGTCGATCAAACTGTAGATTTGTAAATACGGCCAACGCAATAATGAACTACTCTGTGCTGACGGAAAAGGCTCTATGATACGGAAGGAAGCCCGATATTAAATTATGCGTAAATGAAGTCGGCGAGTGTGGCTTCTGATAGAATTATGATCGTTTAAAGTTGGGTTAGTCCCTGATACGCATCGTTTACATTGCCGACTGTCATGACAATTTTGTTGACCGCGGGCATGAATCTGCCGGTACTGTGAGTTCGGTCAGTAATTTAAAGTACTGGCAATATTTTTATGTGTGATCTCCATGCTGGATGACATTGTAGTAAGATGGCAAAGATCGCGATACGAACACATTTTGATTGCAGTTATAACCAAGAAGTCGGTACAATGTGTAGATACCGCGATCTTGCTAATGTTACATACTATTGTGTTTATACTGCAATTTATTGTGCAATTAAAATTGAATTTTCCAAAACAACAATCAAGAAAACACGTTATATTCTCAAACCATTCGATTGAAATCGAGCAGTCTTTGTCGATACATTTTCTTGCTTCGTAAAGCATTAGACATCAGTGTTCACAATATAATGAT